TAAGTACAATACCTTTTGTGGACTCACAGGTTGCGACAACGCCGGAAGCTACAACCAGTAAGAATGAATTCCCTTGTCCGTTGTCTTTGCTTTTGTCAATAAATAACAGCGACAACATATTTCTTGAAGGTTATCAACAACAGTAATAATAATAATAATAATAATAATAATAATAATAATAATAATAATAATAATAATAATAATTATTATTATTATTATTGTTGTTGTTGTTATTATAATAATCATATTATTGTTATTTCTATTAGGAACAAAAATAATAATAATATATATAAATTATTGATAATAAAACTAATTAAAATAAAACTATAACTATACTTCCTTCTGACAGTAGTATGAAAATAAATTGCCATTTGATGGGTTTTAATTTGTTGTAAATACTATTACTTTAATGTAATAATTTATATCAATCGTTTCATCCCAGTTGGTCCTGCAGCCTTCACTTTCTGCCCAAATCCCGTCTCAGTAAGTATAACCAGTAACCGAGCAACCAAGGAGGCAAACTGGCAAGAACCTGAGGCTGAGAATGCGATGGACATCCAATCAACTCACCAGTCTGGTGATGAGTTTCCAATTGGTCAAACAACAGTTGTATACACGGCAGTCGGATTTGAGGGGTCATCTGTGGAATGCATATTCAATGTAATTGTTTCAGGTATGTGAAAAAATAGATGAAGATCATTCATTAGTTTTGCGCAATTCTGCTAAACAGACAGAAAGACAGCGATGAATATATAACCTGTTTTGGCGGAGATGTTTAAGGCTGCTCTGTCCAGATTATCAAATTAAACAAGTTGTAGGTATGCCCATATAGTCATGATGTGCCTATATATGGTCATTATGTAATGTCATCATTACCATATTTAGGCCGGGCATGTCACATATTGTAGTCAAATATAATTTGATAGTCTGGACAGGGCGTTAGTGCTGTGATCATTTGCGAAAAGCCATATATACTTGATTAGATACTTCTATTCTGTAGATGACGAACCACCACACTTCATCGATTGTGATATTACTATTGAAGTAGAGTTATCTGGGAATGACCATACATCAGCTGTTACCTGGACACCACCAACAGCGATCGATAACTCGGACTTAAATGTCCAATTAGCGACAGAGTCGGCCAGGGCTCCAGGTGATGTGTTTCAGTATGGCAGCACCAAAGTGACATACTACGCGACCGATGACGCTTGCAACGAAGGCTCTTGCGTTATTACCATCGTTTTAAGCAAGTCAAGTTGTAAGTAACTTGAGAGAGATGATACCGATTAAAATCTGTAATTCTAGCATAAAAACAGTGACTTGCTAGTTTACTACCGCCTTTGTAGTTAGCGTTTATGTTACAACTGGAATAAAGAATGTTATTTTTCCCTTGGTCATTGGATCCATTCTAGAAAACCGGCGCACAGTGTAACCGTCTCATTTCTTCCGGCTGGCGGCGATACGTGGGAAAAGGGGAATTTCCTTTCCCATCTGGAAACTTTACTCACCCCCCCAACTAATTGCGCTAATGTATTCAATGCAACAACATCCTGCAAGATACCCATTTATACTCTGGGAGAGAGACCGTAGGTAAAGTGCTAGGGACAAGGAGGAAATGGAAGGTTCGAACCACTGTCATCAGTGGCGTAACGCCTATGCGCTCTCATATTATATCTAGTGGCGAAAGGTTGGGGGTGCCCTAATTTTTTGAATTTTAAGTCTTTGAGTGAAATTTCCTGCCATCTAGAAGTGCCGTAAATTTTCATACCTCAGCTCTAACCATGGTGGGGCTGAGGTGTTATTGAAGCTTTATTAGTGAATGTTTGTACTTGTGTCCTGTTAAAATTGGATTCGCAACTCATATGATATCGTTTATTTTGTTGTTAAAAAAAATTAGAATATAATGACATAATTAAAAAACGAGAACATCTAAAATCCCACAGTGGAATTGGCGACCAGGACCCAAAAGGCCCCACTCTCAGAAAGTCACTGGTCCCCCAGCCAAATCATTACGTCACTGCCTGACATCAAGGTTGAACGTTGAAAAACCGAACAGCTGCATGAAAATGATAACAAACACAAATAAAATCCTTATATTTATGTTGTGCTGTTGACAAGTGTTTTGTGCTGTTGTGTTGTGCAATTTCGTTTTTAAATGAGGCAGATATTATTATTTTGTAGAAAATTTCTTTAAAAAATCTATTGGAGACTTAACTGAACGTTTTGTGATGTATGTTGTTTGTGTAATTTTCCCTTTGTTTATATGACCATACTGTTTATAAATAAAAGAATTGTACGCTCAAGTAAGAAGCATTACGGTAAATTAATTGTACAGTATAAGTAGAAGTAATGCGTAATGTTAGGCTTTTTGCTGTACAAAACACAAGGCCACAGAGAAAACAGAATCTGGTTGAGTAAGACCACTCGTGTTGATACAATGAGGCATGCACATTACATTAATGAGATTTATAAAAATAAAAATAATTGGAAATGGAGTTTAGGCCTGACCTCTTACACCTCAATTCAAATGTTAATACTCACGGTAGTTTAATTAGGCTAGTGTAACCCATCAGTTCATGTCTTCATCGTTTTAACTGTCGGCAACAAATTACCAAAAAATAAACCAGGATATAATTACTGAATCAATGAATATGTCCTAATTTGTTTTCTTCTCTTTTTGAAATTCAGTTAATTTGGTAAGACCGGATTTCGACAATTGTCCTGACGATATTGAAGTGACTTTCGAAGACGCATTGTCTACTACAGTCGCTGTGTCGTGGACACCTCCTACCTGCACCGCAGACTTTGCGAGTGGTGTCCCTGAAGTGTCGTCAAATTTTGACCCTGGGGATTCGTTCTCGTTGGGGATAACAATGGTAGAATATGTAGCTTCAGTTCAGAACTGGTTGTCTGGAGCAACTTGGGATCTCTGCGCATTTACTGTCCGCGTGCTTGGTTAGTTATTCTTTAAAAATTCTAAATTTTGCATGCGTAGTAGTGACCGGCCCAAAGCACAGACTTGAATAACAAGATGTAACGAGATGTCTGTAGTAAAATCTAGAAAAAAAACCATGGAAAAAATCAATGAAGGCACTGAATTACTCATTTAAAGAATCAACATAAGCAAATAAGAACAAAACAATTAAGTTTTAATTGATTTGCAGACGTTTTACTTCAGGGGTATATGCATTTTCGTTTTTAAATATACAAATATTATTACGTAGGCTATTCTTGTTAATATTTTATTCTTCATTCTGTATTTTTTGTGCAGAAATTGGACAAAATAATTGCTACAGTAGGTCTGAAAACTAAATCAAAAACTTATATATTATTAATTATTCTTTCTTATACTGAAATCCACTGATTTGCAAGTGGTTCAGTTATAACAAAACTAATGATGTACTAGAGTGTACTAACGGGGTATTAAATAGGGCCTATCAATCGATTGTAAATTACAAAATTCTAAAAACATAACTTGGAAATAATAATAATAATATTATTTTATTATGTTACTAACATTTTATCATATACGCACAGACCGTTATCCACCTGAGCTAATTGAAAAGGTAGACCCAGATCCAGTGCCGACAATTCAAGGCCTACCAACCGCAACTGTGACTTGGCAATTACCTGTTTTTGAGGATCAGAGCGCTTTTACTGTGTCCACTTCCTACCCAATACCAACTGGAGAATTTCAAATTGGTACAACAAACATTTGGTACACTGCAAGCGATGGTGACTGCAACAATGTTAAAACTACAACCAACATCGTAATCACCGTATACGGTACTCACAACTCTTGTAAATTTGTTTGAACTTAGTTTTATTAGCCCTATGGTGTAATACAGATAGCGAAGTATTTAACATTTGCATGAGGCAGGTATTTCTATTATTTATTCAGGTACAATGTCTCCACCTTAAGTAGTTATTAGACATAATGTTAAGGTAAGATGTTAGGCAAGTAATTTAAATTCTTTTAATGTATCCAGTTGGTATTACCAAAATATTACCATTCTAGTCCCCAGTAGAAAAGCTATGGGTGATTCCCTTTTTAAAAACACTGTTGACTATTTTATTCCTTGACGATTTTTTTAAAATGAAAGCATGCTATAATGAATACACTGTCGAATACATTATTTTTCATAAGCATGCAGTGTCGTTTCTTGCTTCTTTTTTGCGATCGAGCATCAAGCATTGCTTCATAAGAAGTGTGCCCATATTGTTTCATTAACAGTAGCCTGCATTATATCAAGTGAAGAATGACTACTATTATTACATTAGAAAACAAGTCGACATCCAAGTTGGTTTGGTCTTCTAATGCCGGGTACAAGCTGCGGCGGCGGTCGTTGGCCGATGAGATTCCATAGAAAATGCAACGCGAGGAGGCGCTCAAAGGAGCTGGTCAGCAGAGCCGTAGATAGAGAGAGTTTGGCCAACTCGGTTTCACGGGATTCGATATACGCGCGTGTGATTGGGTGGATCGCAATCACATGACTTACACCGGCCATGTTGTCACCAAAACAAAACATTAAAGCTATACGCGCGCATGCGCCTGGGCTGTTTGGTAACGACATGGCGTCCATGCGCTAAGTTGGCCAAAATCTGCGTCGTACGACGGTCGTATGACGAATCCAACTCGCCCCATGTGAGCACTAGACGACGAGACGCCGTCTGATGATTGTCGATGGCATGGCAATCTGAACAGATCTTCATTAAAAACGATCAGTTGTGTGCACGCGGTGGTGTTGCATTATTCATAGTGTTGCGTTGGGCGCAGTGGGTGCCATGCTTTAGACCGGAGATGGATGTCGAATTGTAAAATAGACCCGTTTACGCCCCCGTAGTGTAGTACTAAAAAAGAGTCTTTGGTGGTAAAATTTAAATTAACTTATCGTGTCTTAGATTGGGAAGACCCAATCATCTCTTCCTGTCCAGAAAACAAGACAAGAGAAGCAGCATCTGGCAAAGCCGGTAAATCTGTAACCTGGAATACACCAGATATATTCGACAACAGTGGAAGTTACAGCGTGTCATGGAGTACAAACCCTGGGTCATTTTTGAACATTGGTCTGACGGCAGTGAAACTTACAGCCTCTGATAACTCAGGAAATGAAGACGAATGCTACTTTTATATTAAAATTTATGGCAAGTTTTAAATCGTTTTATTAAACACAGGCAGGATAATATCAGATGGAATGGTAACGCTGTTTTGCAATATGGTCCTGCAAAGATATATATGAGTTACAATAAACAAAACCGGATGAAATTTTGAACATTTAATATGTATATGTTAACATATACTTTATTAATTGCTAGAAAGAATCTGTAAACAATGACTTGTTTTTTACAGATTAGTGCTTGTTATTGTCATTGTTTAGTTTATGAAAAATTCACCATATTTAAATATGAATATAATAAATATTCATAATAATTTTATATACACAGATTACGAACCACCTACCATGGTTTGCCCCACCGTAACGGTATCAACTTCCGCAGGCGTATCATGGGGCATCGCGCCATTTGATGACCTCAGCATAACAGACAATAGCATGCAACCTGTGGATATTGAATCTTCTCATAATTCTGGTGACGTCTTTCAACTAGGCTCAACATCTGTGCATTTTAACGGAACTGATCCTTCTGGAAACTTTGCCAGTTGCACGTTTGAAGTCAATGTTATAGGTATTCCAAACATGCATTACGCATACATTTTTTAATATATTTATTTTTTATATTTCTGTGTTGATTTATTAGTCTAATTATGCAATTCGGCTAAGATGTATTATTTGTATCAATGGTATTTTGATTATGTAATTCCTATGTAGTAATCGTGTTGATCAAAAATGATTTGGGCATTCGTAGACTACTATGTTATGATTATTTTCACTATGTTAGTAAAGTCCCTAATTACTAGAACATTTTTGTCATTCTTGATAGCCCCAACGAGTAAGTTAATTTAGAAGCAGAATAAAAGAATATTCGAAAAAAAAAGAAATCGAATATGGGACGCCAATTAAAATTAGTAATCGCAATAAAAAGTGAGTAGCCCAAATTGGGGGCGTGGAACCCATACTATGGCCACGTTGGCTTCATTATTGCTGCCAATAAAAGTTTGTGAAAGATAATACGTTAACTCTAAAAAGTAGAATATTGTTTGCTACAAGAATGTTTCAAGTGATACTACCCAGACTTGCTGAGCTTGAAATAGTTACTGAGTATAGTCTACATTATTATTATCATCAACATCGTCATCGTTACTATCACCATCATGCATTGATATTCATCATATCGTCACCATCGTCATCGTTATTATCGCCTCTTCCTCCTCATCGTCATCATTAACATCATCATTCTATAGGTTAATAATTATAATTCACTTAAGTGCAATTTGTTTTCATCCATCCAAGTTTTTTACATTATCATTAAATATCTTGTAGTTTTGATCTTATTTACTAGATATTTTACACTCTCTTAATGATAATGTCGAAGCCAGCCATGTGACTTAACATTTTTATGACTAAAGATATTTCTAAATAAATAAAATAAATGAATTTCACAGATACCGAAGCCCCAGTACTTACTGGATGTCCATCAAGTGTAGAAGAAGCGGCTGATCCTGGTGAGAGAACGCATACTGTTAGTTGGACCCCGCCGTCCGCCACAGATAATACCGACCCAAATCCCCAAATATTCCTAGCCAGTGATATGGAGTCTGGGTCAGCTTTCGTTATCGGTAATAATCAAGTGAGGTATACAGCAACAGATACCTATGATAACGAAGGTGTATGTACGTTTGTTGTCACTATTTATGGTGAGTTTGAAGTATTTTTGAAACGAATGTTTTCTTAATGAAATGGCAATAAATTCAATGGCTGTACGGTGTGTTATTTCGATTTGACTGATCAAAAAAGAAAAATATTCGTTTCTTTTAAAAAAAATCTGTAGACGATCAGCCACCGATTATATCGAATTGTCCGCATGACGTAACGTTGCCGACAGACTATCGGATGCCTACGGCAGTAACGACGTGGGGTGATGCCGACTTGTTTGACAATAGTCTTGGGAACATTGACTCTTGGTGGAATATTCCAAAGGGCTCAGCATTCGTGATTGGCTCAACCCGCGTATTCTTGACGGCGAGGGATGAGTCAGGGAATGAGGCAACTTGTGACTTTTACATCAACGTATACGGTAATTTTTTAAATTATTTTCTACAAGTATAACTCTCGAAGTTTCTCTAATATTTTGATAAATGTTAAATTTAACATAATTAAAAATCTGAAGAAACAAATGAAAACTTCAATCGAACATTGACTTGCCCAAACATCAAACTTCTAATTAAAAAAATATATATAAGAACTAAGGCAGCTTAGCTGAAATATAGCCACTGTGTGTGCGCTGAACCGTAGATATCTGTTGGTCCCCTGTTCATTTCCCATTGCTGCTTTCCTTGTATTTCAACTGGAGGTCTGAAGTACAAGTTACCGTATGATAGCTGGGCACCGTCTTTCGGATAAGATCGTTAAAGAACGCACACTCTTCAGAAAGAGTAGTGGATTGTCTCCCGGTGGTGTACTGCCCAATCAACACAAGAGGAACCCCACTGGAAATAAGACTTCTTCAGACTTTCATGCTTTATCCTTGGTGTTTACACCAAATAAACCCATCCATCCAACTTTATTAAATTATTATGCTATGCCATTTAACTTGTGAGGTGGTGTGAACATGCTATACAAAAATGAAATGTGACAAAAAGAAAAAGAAAACATTAAATAAAGTAAGCTCTATTTTATTTGTTTCTATGCAGATAACGAGGCACCAGTGTTAACATGTCCACATGTAACAGCACCGAATGATTTCCGTTTACCATCTGCTGTTGTAGAATGGTCAGATCCACATGCCGCCGACAACAGTGGTCTTGCAGTTTCGCTAACGGCTTCTATTCCGTCCGGGTCGGTGTTCCCACTTGGAACGACCGTAGTCCATTACAATGGGACTGACACGTTTGACAACGTTGAGAATTGCTCATTTGTAGTGACAGTGGAAGGCGAGTCAGTAGTAAAATTATAAACATTCAGTATCGCCACACTACCATATAAGAGTGACGTCTTATTATTTTAAAAAATTGACATCAAAACACTATCTTTAGTTTAAAATGGTGCACAGTATATGAAGTAGTGCCCACTAAGTAACACTTACAATTTCGTCAAGTTTTTTCATTAGCGCTGATTATGCTATCGATATAATGATCTTGGCCCATTTGCCAAAGTAGGCCTACTCTTTCTCATTTGATATGATGCTAAACTCTGCACACACCTATTATCATTTTATTTTGACTTAACAATGACTAAGATTGGTTATGTTTTTTAAGAAGCAATAACTTATACTTTTAGATGCTGAATCTCCATTCTTCACCTACTGCCCCGATGACATATCAAACAATTCAGATCCAGGGGAGCGAACCCATTCTGTTGTATGGCAGGTTCCAATAGCCGAAGATAATAGCGGGAATCAACCACACGTGGTATCAAATTTCAATCCTGGAGATTATTTTATCATCGGCGTTACAACAGTATTGTACCTGTCTCTTATACACATCTAGATGTGTATAAGAGACAGGGATAAGATCGTTAAAGAACGCACACTCTTCAGAAAGAGTAGTGGATTGTCTCCCGGTGGTGTACTGCCCAATCAACACAAGAGGAACCCCACTGGAAATAAGACTTCTTCAGACTTTCATGCTTTATCCTTGGTGTTTACACCAAATAAACCCATCCATCCAACTTTATTAAATTATTATGCTATGCCATTTAACTTGTGAGGTGGTGTGAACATGCTATACAAAAATGAAATGTGACAAAAAGAAAAAGAAAACATTAAATAAAGTAAGCTCTATTTTATTTGTTTCTATGCAGATAACGAGGCACCAGTGTTAACATGTCGATATATACAGTATATATATAAGTTTAATCATTCTGCATACAACGTCGTTTCGTCCTTTAAAGACTCATCAGTGCAGCTCAGATAAATTTGAGTTTGAACCTTAATGAAAACAACTAAGGTTGTAACAAGGCAGTTTAAAAGCACTCGTAAATACCAGTCCAAGAGTGCTCACACTGCATATAGTAGTGGGCCAAATAAATACAAAACAGCAATGGTACTATCTCAATAGAGTGCTCAACAAAACAAATGTTAAGGGGTTATAATAAGTTAATATAAAAATATATATAATAGTTAATATATATAACGTTATATATATACATATGTATATATATTATATATATACATATGTATATATATATATACATATATATATATTTATATATATATATATATATATATATAAACATTAAAACAGCAATGGTTCTATCTCAATAGAGTGCTCAACAAAACGAATGTTAAGGGGTTATAATAAGTTAATATAAGCATATATATATAATAGTTAATATATGTAACGTTATATATATATATATATATATACATATATATATATATTTATATATATATATGTATATATATATATATATATTATATAATTATTAATCCCATAGTTTTTTTTTGTTTATATTCACAGATGATGAACCGCCTGTGTTAACCTGTCCAGATTTAACAGTAACAAACGATTTCCGTTTACCGTCTGCCGTTGTAGAGTGGTCAAATCCAGGTGCTATCGACAACAATGGTCATGGAGTTTCACTAGTACCTTCTATTCCCTCAGGTTCAGCGTTTCTTATTGGAACAACTGTAGTCTCTTACAATGGAACGGACACGTTTGGCAACATTGGAAACTGCTCATTTGTTGTAACTGTAGAAGGTCAGTGGACACATTTTGAGATGAATTTTCAACTTGACATTTGACCTATACATACGCAATTGAAACTACAAAATTACATATTATAATGTTTAAGCTCAAAAGGTTTTCAAGCTATTTTTATATTTATATTTTTATGACTGAACCGTAGACTATGCTGTTTTAAAGGTGAAACTGATTGTCAATTTTAATAACTCCCTCTTTCAGATGATGAGTCTCCATTTTTCACCTACTGTCCTGATGACATATCTAACAGTTCAGATCCAGGGGAAAGAACCCATTCTGTCGTATGGCGTGTTCCGATAGCCGAAGATAATAGCGGAAATCAACCTCACATCGTATCAAACTTCAATCCTGGTGATTATTTTAGCCTTGGAGTTACAACAGTAGTGTACAAAGCGACAGATGACGACAAAAACCCAAATGGAACCTGTTCGTTCCTTATTGAAATAATTGGTATGCTATTTACTTAAGTAGTAGGAATATAAATTCGAGTAGTTAGTAGGAAGTTTAGCTATATACATTTTTCAATAGAGCTATTATATTATATTATATTATAAGCTTTTTGAGGACGAACACAGGGGCTCTGGAGGAAAGAAGATGACAAATCACCTTGTTATAGATCATTACAACTACCAAATGATCACATATTGTTAAATATAGAAAAAAAAAAACAACATTTTAAACTTTACTAAGTTAAGTATTATCTCTTTTTAGATTATGAACCACCAGTTATATCGAATTGTCCGGATAACATATCACTGCCGACAGATCACCGTATGCCTACGCGAGAGACGACGTGGAATGACGTTGTGCTGTTTGATAACAGTCTCGGTGTTATTACTTCTTGGTGGAACATTGTTAACGGCTCAATATTCCTGATTGGTTCAACGCGCGTATTCTTGACAGCGAGAGATGAGTCAGGAAATGACGGGATCTGCGAGTTTTACATTCACATTTATGGTTTGTGTACAAGTTTTATATATTATTAATTTGTGGTAAACCTTTTTTCTGCTATGCAGATGTATACCGTATATAAAACTATATAAATATTTATCATTTAATTAGATGTATCGTTTTTCTGTATTTTTTTCACAGATGACGAACAACCTGTGTTAACTTGCTCAGATTTAACATCACCGAACGATTACCGTTTACCGTCTGCCATTGTAGAGTGGTCAGATCCAGGTGCTGTCGACAATAATGGTCTTACAGTTTCATTAGTTCCTTCTATTCCGTCAGGTTCAGCGTTTCTCATTGGAACAACTGTAGTTTATTATAATGGAACCGACACGTTTGGCAATATTGGAACCTGCTCATTTGTGGTAACTGTAGAAGGTCAGCTAGATGCATTTTGAGATTTTTTAACTTAGCTAGAAGCTTAAAGTTTCAGTGAATAATCAAGTAGAAAACTGTCTAAGCAAACATGAAAATTATGCGCATTGTATTATTGGTATTATGCGTTTACCTTGACGTTAGTTATAGATTCTTAAGCTTTGTCCACACTGTCAAATTTTATGGGACAAAAAATGTGATGTGCCCATATATGGGTACGATGACGTCATATCACATATAATCAAATTGTATCCAAAAAAAAAGTTGAACGTGTTCAACTTTTATTTTTCATCACATTTTATGTGACGATTTTTTTAATGAAATTTTATAGTTTGAATATAGTACACACTGCAACCAATCTTCAATACCTCCTGATAAATACACTGTAAATAGGCAGGCTATGCTTTTTAATGGCAGAACTGATTGTCAGTTTTAGTAACTCTATTTTTCAGATGATGAGTCTCCATTTTTCACTTACTGCCCTGATGACATATCTAACAGTTCAGATCCAGGGGAAAGAACTCATTCAGTCGTATGGCGGGTTCCAATAGCCGAAGATAATAGCGGAAATCAACCTCACATCGTATCAAGCTTCAATCCTGGAGATTATTTTAGCCTTGGAGTTACAACAGTAGTGTACAAAGCGACAGACGACGAGAGAAACCCAAACGATACTTGTGTCTTCCTTATTGAAATTATTGGTACATATTTATTTTATTGATATGTATATATTTATTTATTGAAATAAAATTATATATTGATTTTATGATAATGAAAGTTCACAGACACTTGCACCCCTACCCCGCACCGCACCAAACACACACAGGTTACGAATTATAAATAATTGTTTATTTGGGTTTAGCTTAATGAACTTTGAACGCTTGTTTAATTGTATTCACTTTTCATTCTAATGAACCGTGTTAACGATCACAGTATAACCTATATGTAATTTAGCATTAACCTGAATTAGCTTTACCTTTATTCCTCCATGGGTAAGGTTAACATATTTATCGAAACAATAATGTTGTTCCATTTAAATATTGCGAATGCATAGTGTTGCTAATAGTGTCCTCTGCAGACTTTGGCAAGTTTAATAGGAGTAGTTTAGTCTCATTGTTATTATTGTTATTATGATCATTATTTTTATTTTATTGTTACTATTTTATTGTTATTTTCATTTTCTAAGTTTGGCCATATTATTTCTTTGTAAAGCGCATAGGGGCAATGTGCAATATGCGCTATATAAATATAACATTATTATTATTATTATCATTTAGTTATTTCATTCTGTTTTATTTTTTATCCTTTGATATGATATTTATTCAGTACGAAATTTACATTTTGTTTAAGATTATGAGCCGCCAATTATTTTTGACTGTCCGGATAACATATCACTGCCGACAGATCATCGTATGCCTACGCGAGAGACGACGTGGAATGACGTTGTGTTGTTTGATAATAGTCTTGGTGATATTACTTCTTGGTGGAATATTGTTAACGGTTCAGAATTCGTGATTGGCTCAACACTCGTATTCTTGACAGCGAGAGATGAGTCAGGGAATGACGGAATTTGCGAGTTTCACATCCATATTTACGGTAAACTGTTATCAAATGTTGATTTTGTAATTTAAGCCTCATCAATTGAGTATAGCTATATAGCTTCTTTTTTTTTTATAGAAAAATTGTATGCTCACCGCTTAAACATGTTATTTATGATTTCAGACCAAGAGGTGCCTCAGTTTACCTACTGTCCTCCAGATATCTACCTGAGTGCTCTAGAGGGTGACTTTGATGCAGAAGCCGTTTGGAATGTATCCACAGCAATTGATAATTCCGGAATATTACCCACAATTGAAGGAACAAACCAGCCATCTGATAGGTTCCATATTGGTCTTTCCTATGTGACGTATAATGCTACAGACGAATTTTCCAATTGGAATACATGTACCTTTAAAATATATGTATTTGGTAAGTAGAAAAAGCAAGAAATATATCAATAATACCACACAATCTTCCTTTAGTGATAAACAAACAATAACATTAACAAGCACATATTTTAGTCCGTATGGAATGTTAAGTCAATTTATATTTGACTGTATACACAATTTTGTGTTGTATTATATCAAATAATTATTATTCTATATGTGCTTCTGTAACATATAACAGTGACAGATCCAGATATACAAAATAGAGGGGCCCGGGGAGTACTTCACAGATGGAGGATCTACCACCTCGGGCCCACTATGGTTGGGCCTGAGGTAAGAAAGTTTGTGATTATGGCATCTCTAGATGGCCGGAAATTGCACTCTCAAACTTAAAATTTAAATACAATTTTTTCTATATCCATATAATTTAAAATTGTGAACAATTTAGTTCGGGGTTGGGGGTGGCGTACAGGCTGCCTCCCTCCCTTGAATCCGCCACTGATGTAATGTACTTTCCAATCACTCTAAGTTGTATTTGCGTCTTACTATTGTGATGTTGGGTGTGATCAATTGAAATGATAACGCCTACAATTTTAATCCTTATCTTAAATTTATGCTTTGACATTTTAGACGATGAGTCCCCACATTTCATTACTTGTCCAGCCGACATTATCGTCAGCAACGAGTTTCGGCGGGACGGAGCAATTGTGGATTGGACAGAACCGATCGTCTACGATAATTCTCTCAAAGATCTGATCGTCACATCGTCGCTTAGTTCTGGAGATTACTTTACATTAGGTCGGACACTGGTCGAGTATATAGCAATTGATGACCATAACAATACGGCGTTCTGTTATTTTAATGTTACTATAAATGGTGAGTTTTTCATACTGTATTTTTGAGTAACTTTTCAAAAATGATAAATTTTGCAATACACTTTGAGTGTTACTCATTTTACTCATTAATCACTACTAAATGTCGTTCTTCAGATAATGAGAAACCGACATTTCAAAATTGTCTGACGAATTTCACCCAAAGTTCTGACCACCGACTGCCGTCTGCTATTGTTTTTTGGGTCCCACCAACCTCCGAAGACAACTCTGGTGAAGAGCCGAATGTAACGTCCAACCACAATCCTGGAGACATATTCCTGATCGGAACACATGAAATTATTTATTGGTCGGTGGACTTAACGGGAAACCAGGAAATCTGTTCTTTCTTTCTCCACGTATTTGGTAAGTTAGATATTTACTGATCATTGTATGATTAAACGAATGATTGGGGACCAACAATGGGATTAAATGATGATCGATTATGGCGAAAAAGGAAAAGAGAATTACCCAACATTAGATAAACTACATTTACTGCTATTTTTTGATTAATAATAATAATCAATAATAATAATAATACTCATGTATTGCTTTGCTTCAGATGATGAATCGCCAGAATTTACGTTTTGTCCTTCAAATATTCTGCTAAACCCCATGTATTTCATGCCATCTGCTGTCGCCAATTGGTCGCAACCAACTGCTGAGGACAACTCGTACACAGTCGAACACCTAGTATCAAACTATGATTCTGGTGACGTATTTCCTATTGGGCAGACTACGGTCATCTATCGTGCTATCGACGCAGCAAACAACTCTAAGATTTGTTCTTTTAATATAACTGTAATAGGTAAATAACTCTTAATTCTAAAGTATGATTGCTCGGCCCTTATATAATGTTCTTTTTAGCTACGTAAACAACAGTAAATTATAATGTATTATTTGTCATTGGTAATTAAACACCATTATAATTGAATCTGCAGACATAGCACCCCCTATATGGTACAATTGCTCAGAAAACTTTGTTGTTACCACTGATTTTCGAAGACCAGACGCAAATGTTTCATGGATCGTGCCCACAGCAGTTGATGACTCCGGATACGACCCTGCTATAGTGTCAAACCACAATCCAGGAGACGTTCTAAATTTAGGCGAAACTAACGTCACATACACGGCTACAGATCCTTTCCAAAACACAGCTGTGTGCACAATCTCAATCACAGTAATTGGTGAGTAGATCTGGTGTGTTGGTTCCTTCCAAAATAATAATTAGGCCTATGTTAATCTTTGATATGAACAAATTCATTATCCGATTCTGGGAATAATAGAAATCACAGACAAACTAACTAAATAATCAAATATAATACCGATATGTCTCTCTGCCGGTGCTTGTCAACGAGAGGTCGCAGGCTCTAATTCCACCTGAGACGTTTTTTTTTGTTTTGTTTTTGTTTTTTCATACAACTGTTAAAGACTCGTATGACGCAGATTGTGTTCGGCTTAATGTGTTGTAGTACGGTAACTAATACATTCTTTCATTTATAGACATAGAGCCCCCAGTTTTTGTGAACTGTCCTAGAAGTTTTGTGTTCTTCATTGATGATGCTACTGACATCGGTTTCCCAAGTTGGGTGGTGCCCAATGTGACAGACAACTCAGGCGCAACACCAAATGTAAGCGCGTCACACCAACCTCTTGACGCGTTTCCAATCAACACAACGTTTTTGAATTACACAGCTACTGATGGCGACAGCAACATTGTAATGTGTCAATTCTCTATCACGGTGCTACATGCGTTTAACTACCTGCAGAATTTGGTACGTCCAGACTCTAACTAAAACCAGGCACTCACTGCGCCCGACGATCGTCGGCCGACGCGATTCTACGGAGAACGCAACACCACGACGCGTGCGCAGCGGATCAGCCACCGCAGACAGCCACCGACAATCAGCAGACGGGGTTGTGCCCTCTAGCGCTCATAGAGAGCGGAGATGGACTCGTCGTAGGTCGGACGACGCAGTGAGTGTCCGGTTCACTCACTGCTTCCGACGCCACGACGCGCGCAACTGGTCGTTTTAAATGCCACCGACAATCAGCAGATGGCGTCGTCTAACGTTCACAGGGAGCGGAGTTGATTTTGTCGTACGACGCAGTGAGTGCCGGGTTTAGATTTACTTTTGTTCAATATTACCCAGTATTCTTTTTTAAACAGGTTTCATTAAGAGACTGTGGTTGAGTCGAGTTGAATTAGGCATTGGTAAGCCTAAGTTGCAGGATTGAACCCATATACAATAGGCCCCTAAGGCCACTTTTAAATTTAAGAGAAACGAACAAAACGGGAACACCGGAGAAGATACATTTAAGACCAAACTAATGTGGATCATACAAGCCAACTCAATACTCATAACAAAATATTGAAATAATAATGAATTTAAATGTTACAATTGGCCTATGCCATGGAATATAATAATACACGTAAAACCAATCAGGGGTGGCGCCAAAATTTGCCCTATTTAGGGGTTTTAAAGGCTTATTTAATCGATTTTAGAGACTACTAATATGTAGGAAAATACATATAATTAGTTTTTCTCCCCAACGAATTATGCCCGACGAGGGGTGGGGGTGGGGACAGCTCTCCCCGACGGGGTAGGCGGGCCCCGGCCTGCCCACTGGCGCCACCCCTGAAACCAATCTTGATCTAAAAAAAAACCAAAATGGGTAACACAATGAATAAATAATTATGAAACGGAACAGCAGAAGAATTTTATCAAACATAAAGTGTATAAACGAAAACGCAATATACCGCTGCCATCCTCATGCAGTGCTGCTCCTTTCTTGCATGTAGATCATTATTGAAAATTGTTTTTATTAAGAATTTTGCAAACTCGAGTTCTGAAGATATTCAAGAGATACTCGATGTAACGTTGACGGCCGTCACGAACTTAGAAGGACGAAGGATGATTGAGAATGAGGAAGAAATTTTGTTTTTTACATTAGACGTCCTCCAGCAAGATAATAGAGCACAACGTGACGAAGAAACTTCAAAAAACGAAGTCATTGTGAGTTATTGAAATTTCATTATTGTATAATTGATTTGAATCTAGAAAACCCTTATACAAGTACATTTACAACTGTCTTTCATATATCAGTACTGTACTTAAATGTTTTAATGTTTTATACTTTTTAATTTTATATATTTTATATGTACTATAACCAAGTGAATTTCCTTTTGGATAATAAAGTATTTTTGAATTTGAATTTGAATTTGATTAAACATTAAATTGGCATTTATAGATACTTTGTATACTTCCATGAGT